CTCCCGTCAACCTGTGGTGATTTCTGAACTAAATGACGAATAGCCTGAATTCACCACATCCATATATATCGAAGAATTCAACTACTCATATAGGGAAAGTCGTATTGAGTGTACAACCAGATATCTGAGCCAACGCATTAGTGAACACCTTCCTTCGCAGTTGAGAAAAGATATGATCAAAACAATACGCATTTCCGTTATATCACAACTGACTGATAACCGTCATTTGGTAGATAAAAATAAATCATTTGCAGTGATTTGTCATATGCCTCCCAGCTCCCTTTATGGGGTTTGATCTCGCCTACTACATATGACGGGACCTTTGGAGATTCGACCTGTCAAACCAAGCCCCTATGTTCATTAGAAATCCGTAAAGTCCTCGCATCTTCCTCGCCGAATTATTTTAACGAATGGTTTTATTAATTTTTATTTTCCATGTTCTTGATCCATCAATTATTTGCCCCCTCTTTTAAATATGCGCTTCGCTGTACAGTTAACAGAACACTTGTTTTTACAAATTTTCACGTTTTTTTAAACAATATTATCTCGGTGTTCTTTTTCAAGTTGCTGACCTACTTATTATTATTAATTTCAACAGTTGAAATCATGAATCAATTGAAACTAGACCACCATCGAAAACCTGAAAGCACTGGACGGCCGTTTCGTCCTAGTATGGGACTCCTCAGCAGTGCGCATCCACGATCCCGCCCTCCGCGGGATTCGAACCCAGGACCTATCAGTCTCGCGCCAGGCGCTTAACCAACTAAACCACTGAGCCGGCATCCAACGGTGTTAATGTCTAACTTCAACCAATCCACGAAGTTGCGCCACCGTCATCATTGTCTTCAGTGGGCTATTATTAAGCACTGAACTGAGCCTTTGTCATTCCTTTCGGAATTAGTGCGTTTGTTATCACGCTATCTGCTTGTGCTTTTTATTTACTATGTAGTGATTTTGGTTCTAACCACACAATCCTCAAAGCTGAACATGAGATAACTGGGAAAATGCATATTAAACAATGAACGTGCAGAGAAGGGCCACAATGGAGGAGGCGGGGAGGATTAGTTAAAATCAATCAGATGACATGGCTCAGCCTCGCAGACGTGATCATTCTGTATGACTTGTCTTTATTAACATCAAATATATTATCCTATCTTCAACCTAAATGTGTTCACCAGAAGTTCCAGGTATCATATTATTGATTTTTACGATACGATTAGTCAGAATAGACAATGATGTGACATCCACGCAAGATCTTACAGATTAGGCAGTCACATCATGACATATCTACAATTTAAGGATTAGGTCTATTACAATGGTAGTACTAATAACTTAGTAGACAATAACACAAAACTGTCCACTTGTGTAAGTATCCTGTTGTTATCCTTAACTCTAAAACTGCTTTGATTGGTTTAATAGTACTATACATGCATACATTTATTCATGTATAATAGAGCAAAGCTTGATGATGATTTAACTGAAAACAGTATTGTTTAATTATATATGTTGTTCTAATCAACGATATAGGAATTTTTAGTATTTTAAAGAGAAAAGTGCTAGTTACTTCCGAAAAATCTCGGACAAGGTATTTGCTTAGTTTTTTATAGTTTCTGTCATCCTCTACCAAAACTCAGTCTGTAATGCAGGTTATATTCAAAAAGACTTAGTTTACGGAGAACACAAAAACTATTCCGATTCACAGCAACTATCACTGACAAATATTTTCAGTTAGAACTCTGAACTTAAAAGCATCTTGTGATTAGCATACCTGGATTTTACTGTGTTAGTCAGAGACTATTTTTAGAGGTCGAATTTCTCAACGTTCTAATGTCAAGGTCTGGCGTATGGAGCTAGCCAAAACTGACCGTTCTATGTCAAACACTTTCTTCCATTGTAGCGAACGAAAACACGAGTGAGGTACAACCGAATGTATTTGAACACACAATTATAGAATTTCTTAGTAAAATCTGAGAACCATGCAGTAAATACTTCATTTGAAAAAAATATCAGCCAATTGTCTCAGACTTCATTTTTCTTTGGTGTCCACACCAATCAAATTCTGTTCTGGTTCTCTTTACTTCGATCTTCTTAACCTTCTGCAGCCAGATATTTTACCATCGACTGATGATACATACCACTTATATCTACCGACATCAGTGGCACACACCACACCATCAGACTCTAACATGGTCAAAAGATTATTTTAAAACAAACAGTTTTTGATTTCTACACCGTGTGAGTGCTCAAGAATATTCAAAGTTTGAGACCATGATGAAACTACTGCTACCTAATTGGTGGTTTTGAGGTGGGGAATAATCCACTAGTGATTCGCAGAATTACCTTCTTACTTACGCCTGTTACCCCCAATGAAGCATAGACCGCCGACCAGCATTCTCCAACCCACTCTGTCCTGAGCCTTCTTTTCTAGTTCTATACATTTTTTGTTCATTTTTCTCATGTCTCTCTCCGTTTCTCGGCGTAATGTGCTCTTTGGTCTTCCTCTTCTCCCTCGACCTTGAGGATTCCATGTGAGAGGTTGTCTCGTGACGCAGTTAGTGCTCTCCTCAACCTGTGTCCTATTTTCTTCCAGCTCTTCTTCCTGATTTCTTCCTCCACTGAGTTCTGAGTTTTTCGCTCCCACAGTAGGTTGTTGCTGACAGTGTCAGGCCAACAGACCCGAATTATTTGCGTAGACAACAGTTAATAAACGCTTGTACCTTCTGGATGATGGCTTTCGTAGTTCGCTAAGTTTTCGCCTCATATAGTAGAACCGTCTTGGCGTTTTTACGAATAATCGTGACTTTGGTATTGGTTGATAGTTATTTTGAGTTCCAGATGTTCTTCAGTTGTAAATAAGTTGTTCTTGTTTTGCCGATCCGCGCCTTCACATCTGTATCTCATCTACCGTATTTATTGATGATGCTGCCCATATGTGTGATGGTTTTTACGTCTTTCAAAGTTTCCCTGTCAAATGTGATTCGACTGTTGTACGTTGCACTGTATCAGAGAATCTTGCTTCTTCCCATGTATATGTCGAGACCTACTGATACTTAGACTGCTGTTACTCTGGTCGTCTTCTCCTGCATTTGTTGTTGCGTGTGCGATAGAAGATCCAGATCATTTGCAAAGTCTAGATTGTTCAGCTACATCCTAGCTACGGGCTGTACGCCATGCTTCCTCCCAGATGTTGACGTCTTCATGATCCACTCAATTTGTCTGGAGAAAGAAGAAGGGTCTTTAACTCGAACAAGTCTGTGAGCTGTATTTCATGCACGATTTTATAGTTTAATTTACCACAGAAATTTGATGTGATATTGACTATATTCTCAGACACGCCGTAATATCGAAGAAGCCCCCATAGTGTTGTCCTGCCCACGCTATCAAATGCTTTCTCGTAGTCAATGAGGTTGATGTAGAATTTGAATTCCATTCAAATGATTGTCCCTCAATGATCCGTAGTGTTGCGATTCGGTCGGTACACGATTGGTCTTTACGGAATTCAGCCTGTTGATCTCGAAGTATGGCGTCTACGGAGTCCATTCTGTTTAACAACATCCTGCCGTAGATTTTCCTGATATTGAGAGAGGAGTGATGCTCTGTAGTTCTCACACTTACCGAGATCGCTTTTCATCGGTATCTTGCTCGGGTGTCCTTCTTTCCAGTCTGTTGGTACTTGTTCTTCATCCCAGATTTTGCTGAAGAGAATGTAGAGTATTTTTGCAGTTGCTGCTAAATCTGCTTGCGGTACCTCTGTTGGAATGTTGTCTGGTCGTTCTGCTTTACCGCTCTTGATTTGTCTGATGACCATGATGATCTCTTCAATTGTTGGAGGGCCAACATGAGTGGGAGGTCCGTTGATGCTGCTTCGTTGTTGAGTAGGCTCAGATTCTCTCTATGGTTTAAACTATTTGTTTTCAGTTAACATATATGCGCCTGTCTCCAGTAAATGTGATTATAAATCGTGATATACACCTCAATCGTGAGTTCCGCCGATCCAACGGTTGATAGAACTACTATATGCCGTATGTAACAACAACATAAAGTTGATGTGTGTAGGTAGAAATCTGTTGTCAAACAATGGATATAGCAGTTTCCTCATATCACCTTCACCACGTTGTGTTTGTAGCGTTGACGAATTGTGGCAACATCGGGGTTTGGCACTTTGTCTCTTGATCCGATTCCAATGATGTCTACCTTTAAAAGACTATAGTTTCGTCGATATATAGAGTGCATGGTTGTGCGAACATGGTGAGAAAGAAACGTGCGTGAAATAGGAGCAAGAAATCACGAAAAATATTTTCCCATAAGCATTTCAATATGCTTTCCGATAATATTGGTGACGGTTTTGTTCAGCATAATCATTAAAGACTGTCATGATACTACAGAATGATCACATATGCGGACCACCAGTTAGTAAAGTTACGTTTATAGAATATGGGGCAATCTGTCACTTGAAGGTTTCTAAGAACTCTGGGCCACATTCGCATTCCAAATCATTGGTTTTAAACCAATGGATAATTTCTTCGAATGACCGAACTCTAGGCAAATAATGTCATGACTTATTGTATGTGATCATCCTCATTGTATACTTTCGGAATCCACAGTCCCTCTATTTCAGGATCTGTAGTGAACACGCTGAACTCTAGTACTTAATTTTCCGAATAACAAAATATCAATCACGGTTCACAACAGTCGCTGGCTTCGACAGTCAAATTGTCTTTGCGAAAACCCGTTTGTTTCGCCTGGAATGCTACAATATAATGCTAAAACATGGTGAGATGAAAACTGATGAAGAATCGAGGTTGTTTGCAAAATATTAGGTTTTGCCGGTCATACTAATAGGTTATTACTCATTTGATAAACGTACTATGGGACTGCTTTTTATTGCTAGGTTTCTCAAACTAATAACAAGTTCCGTTATCAATCACTTCCAGACCTTATCAAAATTCGTTCATGATATATGACAGCTTAACAACTGACATGTGAGGCGAAACATTGGTCCAATGTATAGTAAGGTAGTTGCGGGATTACAAATTTGGCGTGACTAGGTTATTTGATTGGGAATCATGAAGGTGCTCGTTAAGTCCTTTGATACCCGAGTCATAGACACAAATGACTGTCCAACTGCTGCAGATCTAAAGATTTTACTAGCAAACAAGGACAATTTGCCGCTGGATAACTTGCAATTATACAACTGTGGATCATTAATTAGTGATTCTCAACCGTTGGTATCTCTGTCGAGTGACGCATCTATCGATGTCGTTGTTCCGGCATTAGGAGGTACGCATTTTTCTGTCTGTTTACATTTCCTCAGGTAAGGTACACGGATCTCTTGCGCGTGCCGGTAAAGTTCGTGGGCAAACCCCAAAGGTTGAGAAACAAGAAAAACGAAAGTCTCCACGAGGTAGAGCTAAGCGTAGGATGCAGTACAACAAGCGATTTGTGGCAGTTGTGCAACAACCTGGTGGCAGAAGAAGAGGCCCGAATTCTAATGTAAAGTCATCTTAAAGTGATGTCGAATAAACCTTTTGTTGGAAGTTATTCTCTACATTTTGTACCAAATTTTTTCACCCCCAAACAAGTTGTAATCTCAAGTACTGCTTGTCATTATTTCGGCCGTGTCAAATGACACCGTTATTGAAACAGCTGTCACTAGTCGTTACCTCTAATCTTCTAAAAGTTTATTTCATACAATCAAACCTGAGGTTAAAAGAACTTCACGAAACTGTAGACCCCATAAACGACAAAGTAGGGGAATGGTTCTTTCGAGGGAGTGGTGAGTTATGCCTTAAGTGGGTTTGCGAAAGTTGATGGCAGTATCACAATCTTATCTGGTTACATTGTATGGTTCCTTGTAGTTAACTGTTAAGGTGTACTCCTCAGCATTTTATATATGGTTACAATTAAGTGTGGAAACCATGCAGTCCTGTGGCTTTCGCCATAAAATCGTACAATCTAATGGTAGGTACTTCGAATGCCCACTAGTTCAGTGTGATGTAGTCGGCATCTATCTGCGTCATCGTGATTTAATATTAATCGGGACCGTAACATTTGGTTTTCATGTCATTTGCAGTCAGATGAATTAGGAAAGTAGTTACTAACTTAGCGAGGCATTAGCGATTTCTCTTTCGTTACGTTTAGTGTTTGTGTCTTGATACTAGTATGTATAACTAGAGTGAATGATCAGGAATCCTGAAGAAGGGACTGACTGGTTCGAAGTCAACACCTTTCATATTCAAAATACTGTAAAATATTGTTACGAGAGTTATCCAGAAGACATCTTAGTAATGTATTTCATAGACCAAGTAGACGTTCATGCACTTAGCTTTGAACTACATGGTGAGAATCACTGTCTAGCTACCAAAATTAAAGAATAAAGCTTTACTAGTGATTACTAACAATCACCACACATGTTAACGTAGTTACTTGCAACTGGCTTATTAAGAGAAATATTTTTTCGCCTAACTGTTTCTGTCCTGTTTTGTATATAAATGTTTTAACTGCTCTAAAATGTTTAATTTAGGCTGATAGTTAAAATTTAAGGGCTATTATACATGAAATTTTCACTCGATTCTCGGACAACTAACTTTTCTAAAAATCACTTAGAATAAAAACTAAGTGAAATGAAAATATCCAACTTGTACATGATAACATCATTTGGATAGTTAGTTTGAATGAAAATGGATGTAAAGAAATATATAAAAGAGCACCATATGACTCAGGGAAAATGTACACTTAATTGCTTCCGTCTATTTGTATTATGATGCTTTCTTCCAGGTAAAACGGGTTTGTCATTTCGTAATTAATATGTATCATTGCAATAAATTTGACTTTGGGGTCCAGTCATAAGCAGGAATACTGCCTAAGGTCAAATGTCGATCATATGTAGCAATTTACCTTAAGGCGAATGAAATGTGCTTATAGATTAGGATCATTACGCGTTTTTAAATGAAGGCTGGGGTGGCAGCTATATTTTCATTTTAAAACATGAGAACCCTTTGATCAGTTTGAATTCCGTATCTTCCCCAACACTTGGGTTTGAGAACCATTCCTAAATAAAATGATTAACCTATTAGGTCGCAAACACTAGTATATTTTTGATGTAATACTATGCTTGGCTTCGACAAAGCTAAACTATACCAACTTTAGTGAACTAAAACTTCAAGGTGAAATTTAATCAGCGGCGTAATGTATATACAAATAACTGAGCTATACCACAGTTCCTACGACAAGTTCTGTCATATTCTCTTACACAAGTAACTCCCTTAAACACTTTCCATATATATAATGATGGGACATGTAAGATAATACAGTGTCATCACGATTCTGAATCTAGCACATATCAGTGTCTTGACACGCAGCAGCATTCCATAGAGTTTATCAGAGAAACTTTCCTAAATAATTATTTACTAATTTATCACGAGTATAACTGTTGGATCCATTCATTGTCATCTGTGTTCAGTTGATAGTTGAAGCCAGTAATTTCAGTGACTTGATAGTCATCTTGTTTCATGCCAGTAAACTTGCTCACGCCCTATCATCGACTGAGGTGTTCGGGATATGCATTACTTTTGTCCAACCGCTCCCCACCGGAATGCACGTTGTTGACTGGTATAGGTTGGAAATAAGCTAGGCACACCCAAACCAGAACGTAGTATCAGTCCATGAAGCTATCGACCGCTGGACAGCAGTGCTTCCATGTACAGAATATTTGGTTGAGGTCGACATGATTATCGCGACCAATGTTTAGAGACTTAATATGGTTCAGAATTATTCACAGTGACGCATATGCATTCACACTCTGACTTACCTTAAATCCCAAGTTTACCAGTTATCTTTTACATTTGGTCCTACGAATCCGCTTCTGTGATCACAGCTGTCCTTAATCTTTCCTGCTATCACTATCATTGTCACTACTTATAACCTACTCTGGCGTCTCAAATTTCTGATATAGTGTAGCAACTTGAACCGACGTATCTATGTGCCTGTTTTTACATTATGTTTGACTGATTTGCTCTTCGTATTTATCTAACTGATACAACCTACCGGATTAGCACTATATCAAAGATGAAAACACAAATTGGCAGTAACTACAATTAAAACATTGTCATACAATTTGAAATTATAACGGAAACAATTTCGGAGTTTATATTGGTCGATTTATTGACAGAATAGATTTTCAGCCAATTAAAATGAATCGTAAGATGCTGAAAACGAACGGCTTTGCAGTGCCGTATTCTCAAGTATGCAGTTACTTCACTTATCTTGAAAGTCTGATCAGCCATAATGGGTTGGTGTCTGACGAAATCTCAACACGGATTCAAAAAGTTCGTTTAGCTTTTGCAAACACACGTCACCTATGGCGAAGGTGAGATGTCCGTCTATCAATTAAGGGACGAGTACACTGCGGCAGTTCGTTCTGTTCGACTTTAGGGCTGCGAAACGTGGCCATTAAGAGTGGAAGATACTCGTAAGCTACTAGTATTTGACCACAGATTCCTTAGAAATATTGCTGGGATCACCGGGTAAGTAATAGTGAGGCTAGACGTAGGATATTAGGGAATGATGGTAAATCAGTTGATGAGGTTGTGAATTTTCATCGACTGAGACGGTTGGGCCACGTATTACGTATGCCTGAACATTTATTACCACGACGCGCAATACTGACTATTGTTGGGGATAGTTGAAATAAAGTTAGGGGCGACCAAACCAAGACGTGACATCAGTGCTTGAAGTCACTAACTTATGGTTTGAGCCATGTTAGTAGATGCAGACTACTTGGTTGCGGTCCGCGTAACAATCGTAACCAATGGTCGGAGACTGTGTGTGACATGGCACATAATCGATCACAATGGGGTAGATGTGTACACCCTTTGTCTTCCCTTAAACCGTGAGATTAAAATTGCTTTATTTCTACAAACTGATTCTTTCTTCCTGCATTATATCCTTATACACAATCTTTATATATATATTACTATTATTGAAGAAACTAGTTCTATGAATCCGGTGTTCATCTTTTTGTGCTAACGAGGTGTGGCAACATGGAACCGATGCATATATATGACTACTTTGTAGCTGACTGACTAACTCAAACATACAGATCAGTTTCCAGATACGTGTAGAAAAAAAGATGTCTTTAGTCATATATTATGAGTAAATATTTTTCCGAATGGTAAAGAAACTTAGGAGGAAATTCCGAAAGATGTTGAAAATAAAGCGTCAAGTGGATACCAGAGTGAACACTTCCAGTTCCTAAGATCACGTTTGGAGTGGTCAACCATTTAAATATTTCAATTAGTGGGTAGGCGTGTACTTTAATCCTTAACGTTTTCCTAGCAATAAACCAGAGACACTATTTTTTACTTACCAACTTTGCTTTATCTTGTTTCATTCAATCGGTAGTCGAAGCGACTCTAGTAAGTAGCTAAACAGACCATGCACTTGTGTGCTGAAGGGTTCCGCATACTGTTTCAGGGTTGTACGTCGGACGCTGTCACATGCATGATAGAAGCACTTGTGGTTATCGAGGTGGTAAATAGCGCAGGCCTTAACCCAACCCTTGAGCGGTATCATTACTCTCTGCCAGTTCCTTCAGATTTATTCATTATGTTAAATGAGAACGCACAACGGCTGTGCTACAAAACGTCAGTGACAATAGTTTCCGTCTAGAAAAGTGCCAATTTTTGTTAGTCTGTAAAGTACTTGGGACTTATCTTCGACGCTGCAAGCCATCGACTAGAATCTGAAAACATTCAAGCTATCCGACTTCCACCAATGTCTCTGTCCTATGGTCTATTTTGTGATCAATTGGCTACTACTCAGTCTTTGTACCATCTATGCATGACATCCGAACCCACTGAATCGCCTTCTGAATATGAGTAACACCAGGAATTGGACAAAAGGATGTGAAGTAGCTTTCGGCAAACCAAAGACGATCACTAGCTCTAAATTATTACTGATACACTACGGTCTGTCCATGCCGATCCACACAAATATGGACGATTCAGTGTTTACGTCGTCTCACATTAATTTCCGGGTGCAACAGAAAAAGCTGTTTTACGTACATCCTGCACACTAACTACGGCGGAAAAGAAACGGTCAGATAGAGATGAGTAACTTTTCATTGTCTTCGCTGTGAGTCGTTTCCATAAGATTTTATATGGTCGAAGATTATCAGACTACAAGACACTGCTCACAAATTTCCGCTTAATTGTTTACGAATCAAGACTTTCTAAATAGACTGTAATGAACTGAAAATATCACCTGAGGGCTGACCTTGATTAATTATGTTGATAAAGATAATTCAATTGAAGGGTGGTCATAATATTACTAAAGTAAAACCATTGTTTATCTGCTTCAATTGACCTCAAATATTCAGTCGTATTTGCTTCAGGAACCAACACCGATCAAAATGATATTCACCAGCCAAAGTGCACCAAACTAAGGGTACGTTCATTGCACTTAAGTTGTATTAATAGAGATGATTTGATTGCTTTGAAGACCAATAGAACTTAAAGGTCGCACAAAGAAAGAGGCTTGAGAATGTTGCTCATTGATGACAGTTTCTATATTGGATTTACTGTTCCATCTGGTGCAAGCGGAAAAACATCGTTTGACATTGTGAGTCCCCTTTAGTTTATATCCTACCG